ATCTGAACAGGAGAGGGGTTTGCATTTGTGGGCACAGAGGTGTAGTCTAGAGTCTTTATAGCTGTTTTAGGGTAAATAGAAAAAACTCCTAATTTTCCCTTAGGATCTTATAGTGAAACATAGAATGGATTTTTTTTATATAGTTCTTCTACTGGATTTCAGTATCCTTAAAAATACTTGCTGGCTGTCACTTTTTCATGGACTCTTTTAGTGGGCAGTGAAGAAAGTTCTTAGAAGCTTGACACAAAATGAGATAGAGTTTATTGCAATAGTTTTCTCACGGTATTTTGTATTGTGATTCTATAAAGCCTTCTGAGATATACCTTATATACCCAATATTCCCTGGAACCCAATACCAAGGGTTCCAGGGAATATACTGACTTTTAAATGTTAAATGGAAATATTTTTACAATTCATAATATACTTTCTTACTTTCTTAATAAGAACACAAGCCACAGAATGCTGTCTTTTGACTTTTTTGGGGCGGGGAGGGGTCGTTCTCGGTTTTTCCAGTTACCTTCCCTCTTCACTAGTCCCTCGTCTCTCTTCTAATGTGATGTTCCTAGACTGCTGTGGTCTTCCCGAGTGGGTCATGAGCTCAGTGGACTCGTGCATAAAGTAAGAATAGCAAGAACCGAGGAGATCAGGGGCCCTGCTGTAAGGATAGCACAGGAGGGTCTACACCTAACTTTGACTTTTTTTCTTCTTTTTTTTGACCAATCAGAGGTTATTGTCACTTCTTGATTGTAAGATGACTATCTAGATTGCCGGGTGGATACCTTAGCTCTAGAGAGGCGAGGAAGCATAGTTTTTAGGCGTTCTGAGTCAGATGCCATGGAGTTCAGGGAGAAGGAAGAATGAAGCCCATAAGCTCTGGTGGCAGGGGCCATGCCTCATGCATCTTTGTGATCCTGGGCCCAGCACAGTGCCTGACACAACTGAGATGCTCCATTAATGTTTTTTGAATGAATGAGATTTTGTTATCATAGTCAGCTCAAGGCAGATTTTGAAGCTTTTGCCTTATATACAGTTATTCCTTGTGTTTGGATTTCTGTCTGTCTGTCTCTCTATACTCTGGGAAGTCTTCCCTCCTTTTTGGATCATATTCACTTTCTTTGCAATATATTGCAACTTACTTCATGTAGTTCTTGGGTGTTAAACAATCAGAATATTATTTCTATGAAAACATAAATTTAAAAAGTCCTGTTTTAGATACACTTCCACTTTTAGGGGGCTGCTTCTTAGGCAAAATTAAACTAATAGTAGAATTGAGGTGATTTTTAAAAATGGAACGGTTCAAACATTTCTGGTGTAAAATCTATCTGGAAAGCAACTGAGAAACACAGATCAAGGGCCTCAAAAGTGTTCATATTCCTTGGTCTGGTAATTCCAACTCTAAGAATTTGTCCAAGGAAGATACCAAGATTTGTGTGAGAGAGTATTGATAGACTCAAGGGTGACACCCTTCCTGTTCTCACTCCCCTGAAAGATTCCCTCCTCCACTAAGACTGAGTGAAGCCATTCCCTGGCAATTCTCCCCACTGTAAAGGGGTCAGAGAGAAACCCTCTCTTTTCAGTCAGCTAATAGTCTTGAGTTATTTGAGCCCCAGGAATGTTACCTGTGGTCTATTTTATTTTCTTTCCAGATTAAAGAAAAAGAAAAAGGTTAGTCTGTTTAGATAGGCAGAAGGAAAATAGGGAAAAATAAACGGGAAAATTACCGATTCTGTTTTCAGCCTCATCTAAAAAAAAAAATCTCTTTCAGGAGTAGAGTCTCCCAGACAGAATAAGCCCCAGAACTACGTGGGAAGACGGCCTTGTTACATAACAGGTATTCTTTTGCCAATGGTTTCAAAGACCATTGGCAAAAGGACACAGCCATGATGGCTATTAAGTGGATTACTTAAAAAATATTTACAACTGGGGTCGTGGGCCTCATTTTAAAATTTCATCAAGATTCTTAATTGCTGACAGTTCTATTTCTTCTTAAGTCAGGGTAATTGGGTTGAGATCTGCAGCTGGCTTTATGTGCGTGGCTGTCTTAGGTGCACTCTGAGAACTCTGCTTTCAGGGAACGAATCACACTTGAACTCACCTAATGATGCATTTTCCTTTCCTTTTCCCTTTTCATAACACTTTCTTTATAATTTCCATTGAATTAAATTATTTTTCATTGTTTTCCTGACGATTCCCAGATACAAATTAAGTCTTCCTGCTAGTCCCCTTTCCTTCCTTCCCAGTGATAATAATAACTTGCAAGTATGTAACTAGTCACGTGTCTTTTAAGGTCTGTCTCTCTTCCTAGACTGTGAGCTCATACAAGCAGGGGGGACACCTCCTCATCCCTCTACACCCACAGTGTAGCACACACTGAGCCTTTACCAAGCACGGCCCAATAAATAGATAAATAAGCAGAACTGCTTCTGGAGAAAATGATCAGCATTTATAAAAACGTAGACCTCTGATCTCCCCTGCATAATATTACCTGTAAGTCAGCAGATGGTTTTATGATCGTTCAAAGAATATAAGTGACAAGTGGTTTAAACCTTGGACTAAATGCAGGTACATACAAATGAGACTTGCTATCATATATGAATTGGACCCTTCTGTAATACAGACTTTTGTTTTGAACTTGGGGAAAGGCTTAGCTGTTGCTAAGAAGACCGCAAAACATCTTGTTACAGTAGAAAGCCGAAACAAACCGCCACGCCATTCCCAAGAGCAGCAAAGAAAATAAACTTCCAAAGCAAACCTTTCCAGGAACTGTAGGAAGGAAGATTAATAGAGTACAATATAAGTTCAGTTAATATATTGAACCCTGTCAATGGCATTTTTCTCACTGATTTCTAAAAACAAAACAAAACAAAAAATATATACATAGTTCTTTAATTCTATAGGCTTTCTCTATTGTTACAAATCTTTTTGATCTTTTTAATCAAATCTTTTTTTTAATTAGCTATCATTATTATTTTTTCTTGCTTTCTAAACCTTGTCTCACCATTTGAATGAGTTAGAATGAGGGAGAAACAAATAGAACAAACCAAAGTTATGGAGAAAGTATGTGTGTGAACTTTATTTCATCATGAGAAAATCACTTCTGTGCAGTAACAGAGAATACTGATATATCTACACGATGATAAGGTTTTCTTTGTATTTAGATACATACCTTATATTTTGTACACAATATATAAAATTCATGGAGGAAATTAATTTCTACAGTACAGTTTCTTTGTTGGAAGAGGACTTGTTCCGTTAGTTTCGTTTAGAAAATGACCCCCAGTTCTGTGACTGTGGTACGAGGGATCGCAGTTCCAATCCTGTAATTTATTAGACACCATAATCTTATGAACAGTAAGAGAAACTGAGAAACTACATCCTCCTGCAGGATGAAAAGAGAAACATGAATGCTCAAGCTGCTATGCTAGTAACTGATTTTAGCGGAAGAATATGATTTCCATGATGTATTATGAATAGAAGTAGTAGGTCTCATGATACATATTAGCAACATTGCTGCAAACTGTCTCCCTGCTCTGATGACATGCACTTCACTCTTCAATCAAACCACCTTGTACGCATGTGGGAAACGAGGCCATCATCACGAGGGGCCTTCTGCATTGCATGTAGGCAACTCTTGGAGGGCTTTAGCATTTAGCAGGGTACTTGGGGAAAGAGACAACTGCTCTCAAGCAGAGAGGTCATCCCAGAAAGAAGTTGCTAAAATGGTCATTCGGGGAGCTGTAGCTATCCCATCCCTAGAACCCGATGGGAATGGGCCGTGCGGGAATGTTTCCTTCAGCGAATCCTTCTTGAACAGCAACCCTCACAGACTTACCACTGCTCCCCAGGCCCGGTCTTTACGGCTAGGGGCCTGTCAACCTTGCTGTGGGATTTGAAGTTGTGCTTGTTTTTAACCATGTGAACTATTTTAAGTGTGATTGGCGCATGCCAAGGTTTGTGGGAAGTGGGAAAAAAACACCACCACAGTTCTTTGAGCTAACATCTTGAATTTGAACAAAATCAACACAATTAGTTCTGCAGAGGGAGGTTATGGGGAATGCCAGTGGGGGTGACTTCTGTGATTAAAATGACACCCAGAAGGTCTGAAAATGCTTTGGCACTGACCACAAATACCTCTTCATAGGTTTAATTTCATGTGCTGTGATTGCTTTTAGAATGAAAATGTTAAAAGCCTCAGAGGTTATACCTGGTCATCAAACACAAGCAAGCCCCTCTTCCGAGAGGAATGGCTTGACTCTGATGACCAACATATTTACAATATGGCCAAGAAGCCAAAGTTCTCTGGGGCATGACATTGTAGAGTGGCCCTGGGTGGCCTAACCCAGCCTAGAGGGATGGGCAAAGGTGAAAATGGCGAGGTAATGCGGAGCTGCTGGTCATTTCCTGTTTGGTGCCCACAGGAAGCCTCAGTCCTGGTGCCGCCGGCCTCGGCTTTGGGCGTGAGATGGAAGGCGGTCCGCGCTGGCCGACAGGCCCTCTCTGAACAGCTCTAGCATCCCACACCCATTGGAAACATGTTCAGTCACACATATCCACAGCTGGAAAGAACCTCGGCCCCACCCTCAGAAACAGGTAAGGACTACAAAGCAATTTAGAATCATCTGGATAAAATTGGCAAGTGACGTGTGTCGTGGAGAATGGGAGCCTGCCCTAGAACCTAGATACATTTGTTTCACACACCGGGGGGACATTCAGGCCTTCATTTTTTCAGCTTCTTCAACTGCAGCTTATTTAGAGTGTTATCAAAGGAAGCCGACGCCCCAGGCCATTTGAACTGCCGCTGTGGACTCTTTGGTTTGATCACATCCACATACCATGGGCTCTCTAACGGCAGGAGAGGAACAGCGGCTTTGTGCCAGAATGCAGAGCAAGTCATGGAAACACTTCAGAATGTGGGCAGTGGTGGGGTTACCTCCGGGCTTGCCAGCCACTTTAGATGCCTCGCAGTTCTCGCTCTGAGGGATACTGCTGAAGGGCCTTACCCTCAGACGTTTGGAGGACCAGGGTCTTGCTGTACTGGCTGACTCCTGTTTTGTTGAAGGCCTTGATGCGAGCGTTGTATGTGCTGTTGAAGTGAAGACCATCCACGGTGCACATCGTCTCCTTCCCAACATACACTTCCTGAGGGTCAACAAAGAACAGGCCACAATTTAATGCTAACCCTTGTGAGGGGTGAGGGAGGCAGTGTCGCTCAGTGGTCAGGAGCAAGCATTTTGGTGGCAGCCTGATCTGGATTCAAGTTCTGTGAGATACTAAGCCATTTAATTGACCTTATTTACTTATTTAAGATTTTATTACTTATTGTTTGAGGGAGAGAGAGAGAGAGAGAGAGAGCGTGCGTGAGCGTGAGTAGGGGAAGGGGAGGAGTGGAGGGAGAGGGAGAGAGAGAATCTCAAGCAAACTCCCTAATGAGCATGGGGCCTGACACAGGGTTGATCTCAGGACCCTGAGATTATGACCTGAGCCAAAACCAAGAGCTGGACACTCAACCAACTGAGCCACCAAGGTACCCCTAATTGGCCTTTTCAAGTCTCAGTTTTGACATCTGTAAAATGGGAACAATAATACCCAGTTCATGAGGCTGCTAAGACGATCCAGTAAGGAGGTCATGTGTGCAAACTGACAAATGTAGTGCCTTATATTTAGCGTGGGCCTGGCACCTTAATGAGTGGTAATTACTAGCAGTTAGGGCTTAAAAAATTAAAATTGGGTGCTTATAGTTAATGTTATGCTTATTATTATTAACTTGGCATTTACCCATATAATATACCTACCAAGCTTTCTATCCATCAGTGTGATTTGTCAAAATTGGTTTGAAAACATGAGGGTGGTCTCTGTGTTCTGTCTGTAACTCCACTGGTAACTTGAGGAACTGTCACCAAGATTATACTCAAAGGCACAGAAGTATAGGTTTTATCGTGGTGCAGAGGGAAGGGGGAGGAAACAGGGGCGGGAGGAAGAATGACATTTCAAAGGCTTAAAATAAATCATAGCATAATGCATCTTTAGCATAGGTTAGGCATGTGCCTCCCTCTTTAGCTGTATGCTTCTGCAACACTATGCTGATGTAATGAGTAAAAATAATTTGTATTCAAAGTACAGCCTTAAAATGATAACTCTCTGGTGGGATACTAAGCAGATTGGGGTCTGGGATCCTTGCATGCTAAGAATTTTATATGATGGATTATCTAACAGACTCTTAACCACAATACGTGAGGTATGTGTTAATATTATCACCTCCCATTTTACAAGTGAGTTCATGAAGGCTCAGAGAAGTGAGAAGTGGGCACAATCCCATGGCTAAATGGTGGAGTCCAGATCCGAGAGCAAGCAGTTGGACTCCAGAGCTTGTCGCCTACAAGGGCTTTCTCTTCAGAAGGGGAGGGCAGTTTCTCTTCAGAGACCCCTTTGTCCATCTTTGATGGTTCAAGGTGAATGCAGGTCTCCGTTGAAGGGCCGGCAGACCCTGCCAGGATGGTCTGGTCTCAGGAGAGGTGGGGAAGCTTGGCCTGACACCCCACAATGGGTCCTCTGAGGTGGTCCCTGGCTTTGGTTAACAAGTAGCAGATGCTCTACTTACCCGGAACTGACCACCATTGCCATCATCCAGCTCCAGAATGTAGCCTTCAGCAGGCACCGTGGACAGAGGTGGCTGTTTCCAGGACAGCGTGGCGCTGTTGTTGTGGGTGCAACACTCCTCCAGCTGCAGGATGGGGGTTGCTGGGACTGGAGAGGAAGCTAAACAGAAATTAATGTAACCCTGGCTTCTGTTGAGGTACAAACATTTCAGGATCTTGGAATGGGAAACATCCCCCTGATCAACATGGGGCTTGACTCAGTACTAGCCCACGGGGGACCTGAACTGGATCTCTTCCAAAGTCTCTAGGACTGGGACTGGGTCCTGAGCTGCTGTGATGCCCTTTCGTAAACTTGTGGTGGTACTTCTTACCTTAACTGTGGGGAGACAATTGCTCTGTTCTCACCCCCTTGAGCACTGAAGACCTCATCCCTAAGGGAACTATTTTAATGGGAGATGGGTTTCCAGCCCGGCCCACTAAAGTCCATGTAACCCATAATATGGGTGAAAAACATATCATAAAATTTATCCTGAGCCTTGACCCCCAGTGTATAAACTTGGAACTGCCTATTCTGAGCAGTTTGTTTTACCAGTGATTCTATTCAAGGTGTTGTACACGTAAGTAGCTGCAATAGTGGATTTTTGAAAACTTAGTTGTAAGTGACATAAAAACAGTGATTTCTCCATTTCTAGACTTTTGAGGAACTTGACCCCATTTTTCCACGGTAGCTAGTCTAGCTCAGGTCCATTCTCTGAGGTGCAGAACAGCCAACTGTGAGCCTGGAGAGTAGCATGGCAGCAGAAGGGGCCTGGCAGGGGAGGGTCAAGTTGTCCTTGTGACTTTGTGAGAATCTGCCACAGTACTATGAGTCGCAACATACCCCTGGCCCCATTTTGTGCCGGGAGTCTTTTCTATTACTTCAAACTGCAGAAGGGTTGAGCCTTCAGACACACAGACATAGAACTGTTAGGTAACAAACAATCCCAGTTCCTAACATATGAACTCAATGTATATATTTGGGAATAATGTTTTTACCAACTGTTTAAAAAATTTTTTGTTTAGCACCAAACCATTAATTTATTTTTGTAGCACTTTAACAATAGGAGCGAACAGTTTGGACGGCATCCAGGGACATTTAAATGAACAAACGTTAATTATGGAACACCTGGTATGCTGTACCAAAATTGGACTCCGTGTCATGCATCAAATTATCTGCTCCCTGACATCACCTCAACCCCAAAGATGGTTTTTTTAACAGCCATTTAGGAAACGGGTTCTATGGTGGATAACCTAGGAATTAATAGCAGTGCTCATAACACAAGAGATATGGAGGTGAGACAGGTCAATTATACTTAAGAAAAGACTTTGATACAAGAAAACCATGCCTGAGTTACTAGAACAAACATAATGAAATCAAAATTATGACCAGTTGATTGGAGGTAGTGAGTTTAGGAAGGGAAATCATGTTTCAGATTTCAATGGCATAGAGTTCAGTTGGTCTTATGAGAAAAGAGTGGTTTCTACAGCCTCAGAGATCCTCAAACATCTGGAATTGGAGGAAAGGAGATGGATTCATTGCCTTGTTCAAGAAATAGACTACAGGACTGGATGGGAAAGGGAGGAGAGAGAAGATGTAACACCTAATGATTCTCTGCCCATAAACAGGCATCACCTAACAGTTTTAATTGGAGGGTTAACTTCAGGTAATCATGTGTTAGGAAACCACCTGGTCATTAAACACTTTTCCCTTATAAAAATATTAAATTTTAACATATTAACTGTGGAGTAAATTATGATAAGTTTAAGCAAACTGTTCTTCAAATGGCTTCTAGAGACATGGAATGATTCTCCTTGGGAATATCTGCTCTGAGCTGTCCTTACAAATCAGAGCCTATCATAAAACAACCTATTTCTTGGACTCTCTTTATGTCATTAGTTCCCCTATCAATCTTCATTTTCCCTTTGTTCATGTTTCAGGCAAGTCTACATTTTAAAATCAAGTCTACAATTTTAAAATCAAAGAATAAGCTCACAAGATGGTTTCAACTTGAATCATGCAAATGCTTGCAATGTCTCCAATAAGAAACTCAAATTTCCTTGTATAGACATAGGTATAATTAATAGATTAATTGAAATACATGATGTCATGTGTAATTAAAGCATGAGAACTTCATTTGTAAGTCCTCAGTGGATACGCTTTAAAAGACTAAAAAGATAATAAAAAGTCTAACCACTCACTAATCTTCAGATTTTAATATTGTCCAGACCTTAAACAAATGAATCAAAAAAAAAAAAAAAAGCAAAATGAGGGAGGGAGAGTGAGATAAAGGGAGGGAAAGAGGGAGAGAAAGAGAGAAATGAAAATGAAGGAACATAGAGACATTTGCATGTCTAAATCTATTTCTCGATGTGCTCAGAATTATTTTTTCTATGTCCTTATTTACCCCAAAGTGATGTTGCATATAAAGGCAAATGTGACAAAATTACAGCCTCATTAGCAAAGACTAAGGCTGACATTTTAGAAAAACAGATTTTATAGTGGGTATTTTATTACCCTATTTCACTTTATTAGGTATAAAATAAATGGTGTATAAGAATCCAAAGTATTTTCAAATTATTATTTGTGTTTTGGAAATGGATAGCATCACAGTTCCTGGGCTGAACTCTAAGAAATTTTTATTTTACTGAAACTTCTGATATTGGGCTGCTGCAGCTGTCTTAATCTTAATGCTTTCACCATCATTCTTGGATGTTTTTGTTTTTCCAGTTTCAGGAGAAACGGACTGATCAGAAGTCTATTGCTTGTATTCTTTTGGCCCATAATATCAAGCTTCAGGCTAAAAATTCTCTTCTTAGTTGCAAGAGGCAACCATTCTTACTCTCTTCCTACTGACTTCCTTGGAGCTTCGGCTCAAAATTAAATTCTGCAACGGTGTTTTCACGAGTGTCACCCAAGTGATTTTCACAGTACCCCCACAAGAACTGGTGTTGTTATTATCTCTAGTTGATAGATGAGGAAAAAGAAACACAATTTTCATGGCTACTAAGTGGCAGAGCTGGGGTCCGAGTCCCAGCAGGCTGGCCCCAAGGGCTGTATGCTTAATTACACCACACTGCCTCTCCAGACCCGTGTGTAGTAATAGTGTACTAGAGGGAAGTCCCCACACCTGATTCCAAGAGGAATATTTCCTTTTGCTTCTGTAATGTGAGTGACAAAGTTCCCCGAGAATTGTTGGCATAGATTAATGAAATATTTCACCATACATAGCATAATGTATCAATTTATCGAATCACTGTGTTGTCCACCTGAAACGAGTGTGACATTGGTGTCAACCATACTTTAAAAATTGCAAAAAGAAAATAAAGAAATATTTCACCATAAGAGCTATGGTAGCTGGGAATGCAATTCTCCTGAGTCATCCTGTCTGAATGTTCCTTGGGGGACTGTCTCTCCTTTACAGTGGCTGAACAACACAAGTGGCATCTCAGGAAAGTTTCTACTTTAGAGGAACAACAAGCCATTTCTGCAGAGCTCTCATTAGTACACTGGTACAGAGAAATGTGAACGTGGGTTTTGAGGACATGCATTGCAGGTCTCCAAACCATGAATGGATCACATGCATGAACAGAGGACATGTGAGACAGTGTGTGTGCTCATCCGCATCCCTGCCAAACCTCTGGGTGCTCTTTCTCCGTGATTTATAAGAAGGTCTGTTCACATCACACTGACCTTGCCCATGACCTTGGTGCATACTCAGGGCTCTTAGATGTGACATGAGTTCATAAAGATAAATGTGTTCTTAGGTTGAATAGAGGCACTTAAGGGATTAACAGCCATTGGTACTAAAAAGGCTTAGGGGAGCATTAGGTCACTGTTTCATATCCTGGTTCAGAATGAACATGTTGGCATTTCTTTCCAGCACTGACTCATGAATCTTGGGACACTTTCTATACTTAAAACAATTCTGGGATAATATTTTTCTGAGGATGTTTGAACAAAGAAGGTACCAGCATTCTCCACTTAGATTTCAGATGCAGAATCAGGAAGAACAGATGAGTTAAATCCTTGGCTCATAGGAGAATTTTCTTGCTGATTAGTAGCTGCCCTAACTGAAACAAAAAACCATCAACAGACCTATCTTTTGTGATATCAAGGGAAAAAAAGACATCTGAGATGAAATTCCAAAACCAGAGAGAGGCTAGAATTTCCAGTTAAGAAATGAACAGATATTTTTGTTGTTAGTTTGAGTCAAACTTTAAATGCATGCTTTAAGTAGCTTTGAAAATATTTTAACTTTCTACTGTAATCTGCTTAGCATAATTAGAAAACATACATTGAAGTACACATATTGTATTAATGGTCAGATTACTTTAGCACTGTTCTCAATGCTATTTAAATTTTGGCCCTTCTTACTCGGATTTGGGGGTACAGTTTCTTGAGATATTTTTATTGACAAGCTGGTAACGTGCAGTGTATTAAACTGACCAAGCTATCCTACCAAAAAACACTAATACTACACCTAGTGCAGCTGTGTATGTTAACAGCTATCAAAGAGGCCAGTAGGAGTAGTCTTAACCACAGCCAGTCAAATTCTATTGCGTCATGCCCTTTTGGCTTCTCCTTTCCATCGAAAACATCTGACAGATAAAAATTATTTCGAGTCTAACGAGGACTTGGCTCTCACTGAATTAATTAAACTTCACAAGCACAAAGCAAAGCATATAAATTAACTCTGCAGAAGGATACTAATCAGCAGTAAATTAAATTAATGTGAAGTATGAAAAAGAAAAGGAAAATGGAATAATCCAGTCTCATCCCAAATGGCCTGTTGGAGGAACCTTGTAAATAACTGTTTGAGATCATTTGTGTCCCGGGTGAATTTTTGTGAGTGTGTTCTGCATTTTGGCCTTGAGAGTGTGTGGCACTCTCTGACGCGCGTGCAGACTTTGGTGGAGTGGACACACAGCCATTTTTCATGCATATGTCTGCAGGCAGCCTTAAGGGGCCAAGTGCCTGTGCTTTAGGGATGGGGTCTGTGAGGCACAGCACATGAGGCTGCAGTTCCCATACCAGATGAAGGGCCTGTTCATTCCAACACAATTGTTACCATCCTGCCAACTGGCCTGGACTTCACTCTGGGCAGATGGACATAACTCAGAAGGACAGCAAATAAGGGAGGGGAGGGCTCTGTCAGCTGCTGAAAGCAGTTCAAAGCCCTGAGGCTCTCCCCCTCTACCTGCTCCATCACCAAGTCTAATTGGGTTGGCTCCTTTTTTCCTTCCACTGAAAGCCCTTCCACTGCCTTTCTGTGACATATTTTCTCCTCTGAGCTATTTGTGACATAACTTTCAATGATTTGACCTCATTGAGAGGACGGGATCCAGAGAGAGGCTGATTGAGGGAGATTTACCTGGGGATCCATATATTACTCAAATGGCTGTATTCTACAGACCACATGGGGGTGTTTAAGAAAACATTCTAAATAGCAAGAAAGTTGTGCTGCAACAAAAAGTTAAATTTCTTAAGTTTAAGAGAGGAATTTGGTTATTGCTTGAAGAAGCCAGTTTATAAGGCACTAATGTTAAAACACAAACTGGAAGTTGTAGGTGCAGGGTCTGGAACGTATCTCTCTGGCTTTGAACGCTTGCCTGACATTCACTAGCTGTGTGAATTCAGGCAAGCTACCCAGTCTTCCTGTGCCTCAGTTTCCTTGGATGCCTACTAGGGCTGTGAGAATAAATTGAATTAATCCACACGAAGCACTTAGGAGAGTTTCTGGTTTGGTAAGTAGTCAGGAAATGCTAAACATTTTTGTTATGGCAACAAAGTACTTTTATTAACAATCTATATGATATTTACTCCAAAAATCAATTAAGGCATCATCCCAAAGCTATATATAATAAACAAAAAATGAGAAAACTGAAAATAAAAGAGCAAAAATCCATTAAAAGAATGAGAGTTACCTGTACCAGGTACATGGATGAGTTTAGCTGTGTGATGTGAGTTACAAGTGCAGAGCCCTAAGACTTGCTGGGTTAGGTCTTTCTCTCTGATAAAAGGAAGCATGTAGATTTTCCTTAAAAAATGAAAATCTTAAAGCACTAACTTCTAAGTCCTTTATTATGTGGCTGCTCAAATTGGGAGAAGCAAAGAGCAAATCAATTTCTTCAGTTTTAGGAAAAAGACTAGAAAGTGACACAATTACAGAGATGAAGAACAGATAGGTGATTGCCAGGGATTGATGACAGCAGAGGGGAGGGTTGTGGATATAACTATATGACCATAATGGAGTAGCATGAGGGAGGTCTTTATGGTGGTAGCTTAATTGCAGGAGCAGTTAGATGACTCTAAACACCTGACAAATGACCCAGAGTGATACATATTCATTGTACCAATGTTAATTCCTGTGTTTTTTTTTTTTTTTTTTTTTTTAAGTGGACTCCACGCAGGGTATAGAGCCCAATGCGGGGCTTGAACTCACAACCCTGAGATCAAGACCTGAGCTGAGATCAAGAGATGGATGCTTAACCAACTGGGCCGGGCCACCCAGGTGCCCCTAATTTCCTGGTTTTGATATAAGATGATAGTTCTGCAAGATGCAACCATTGATCGAAACTAGGCTAAGGGTACACAGGACCTCTCCTTACTATTTTTGCAACTTCCTGTGAATGTATAAATATTTCAAAATGAAAGTTAAAAAAGGAATCTTTTTCCAATGGATATTACTTATACTGCCATAAAAATATCATTGCATGGTTGGCTTTTTATTTTCCTTAAGATAATTTTAGGTACTTGCACTTCCCCCCAGCCACCCAAAAAAAATCTCAAAGACATCTTGCAAACTCCTAAATCATATAAGCCAAAAGTTTGAAAAGTTAAAATTTATTTCAGAACTTCATTTTCCTTCTGTAACCAGGCTGGCATTTTCCTGACCAGTATTGGCAAGTCAACGCTGATCATCTCAAATTCCCACTAATTTATGCTCGACCATTTGCTCACCACCGACCCATGTGGTAGTAGTCATTTCAATTCTCAACTGCCTTGATTTATACCAATATTTCTGGGTTACTTTCTGTAACAAGATTTTATTTATGTACAGTGATGCGGTCTCTATCTCCTTATCTTTTTTTATGTCAGCTATTCCCTGATGCTGGGCTTGTGACAGCTCTAAGACTCTTAAGGAGGCAAGCATTGAGTTTATCTGAATGTATCTGGCTTTCTGAAAGGTAGGTCACAGGGCTACAATGGTACATTTCCCGTATGTGGTAAGCTGGGAGCCACTCCAGACTTTTGTACTGTCACCCAGAGGTGTGTGTGTATGTTTACTTCTCCACCTCTTAGGTGATTTATAAACCTGCCAGCTGCATTTTGTTTGCTACAGTCTGGCACAAAGCCTCAATCCTGCTTCAAGTATCAGTATCCACTTGGGGTGTTGCTCTATTTCAGGGGTTGCAGGCACGTACCTTTCATCTGCACAAAGTCGAGCTGGTGAATGGATTGCAGCAGAGGGCTGTTGTCCAGACTCAGGTCGAAGTCCGTGGTCATCCTGGGAGTGAGCGTGCCTTTCCCCCACTGGTCCTCAGTCAGGTGCACCCTCCTTATGAGGGCGTCGGAAATCTAATCACATCAAAGACCACAGCCTAAGAAATATAACACCACACTGGACACAGAACACTGCTCCTCCACTCTCCAGGAGCATACCGAACCACTCTGGGACTCATACCTTTCCTGTCTCCATGTAGGCAATGAGAAGCCTATTATGACCAGGGTCACCCATGCAAACCTGGGTGCTTTCACGAGTTGGAGGGAGCCACTATAAATAATTAGCAGCTGTAAATTGCTTTGTAGACAAACCTGGATATATGCTATTGCTATTTATGACTGATCAACTAAATGCCAACAACATTTGATAACATGTTGGTGATCTGTTAATCCTAGTAGAACTAACAACCCTAAGTTTCTAATAGGATGTGTGGATATTGTGTAAATGCTTGGAATGAGTTTTATAAAATAGTTTGAGAGGCTGCAGATGGTAATCTGTAATGTGGAATTTCTTACACTTTAAGCCTGTCATCTTCTCTATCACTTTATTCTTTGATAGAGAACTCTTCCATTTCTTATATTTAATCTCCCATTGTCACTCTTGGCCAGTTTGATAAAATGTGAATTGGAAGGAATCTATGTGTTCCTTAATAAAAGCTCCCTTAATCATTGAGCTCAAAACCTAAGCAAAATTCAGCTGACATCATGACATCTCATTAAAACAATCAACACCGAAAAAAATTACGAGAAATCCAAGGAATGAGAAAACTCCTGGAAAATCACTGATTTAACTAGCCAGTAGAAACTGTCAAGAAGGTAGAAGCCTTGCATGTTTAAACATTTCTAGATGACAATGCTGTCCAAGATATTAGTGGAAAGGGACCCAATTCTTAGGCAAAGCAGTAGCCCTGCTTCAGAGGAAATTGCAGGGACTTACATTTTCATGATTAACTATGAACAGAAACAAATTTTAAGAAGCCCATATACATCTCAATCTTGGAGCACATGGTGGCAGAGACTTTCAGGAAGTCAGTGGCGTTCTGCTGGCACCCACATGTGTGTGGCTGTCTGAAGGTGGGTTCCACTGTGGAGGGAACATGGTCAGCAAGGGCTGCCGAGAGTCTGGCTGCGACATTGGTGGACTGCGTTTTACGGGACACTGAGAATCTGAAATGGAAACTAGTTGACACTTACCTGCAAAAAGCCACTGGGATCATTTTCCTTAATGACCTCCAGGCAGTACTCCATGAGACCTGTGGTCTGGCGCAATTTCACTGTGCAGTGAGAGATCTGATCTCGAACCACCTAGGATTGATGTGAGAACAGAATGGTCCAAAGTGGCAAAGGCTGAAAAAGAAGCAAACTGCGGTGCTTGAAGGGACATCCACCTCAGGTTCCCCTTGCTCCCCAATCTTCCAGGAAGCTGATACTGTGAGCTGCTCTAAGTGGGAGGTCGTGGAGAGTTTATGAAGGAGCTGAGTAACCCGAGGTGTGGTTGCAGCTTCTGTTCTGTGAAACGTCACCCACCCGCTCCCACCCTGTGCCTCTCTTGTAAAGAGCAAACGTCCTCGTCTGAACCCAATTCCTTCTCATTCTGATTCTTCTTCCTAAGTGGGTGGTGGGATGGGGTTAGAGGTGAAACTTGCTGAAAGACAGTGAGCTAATGACAATAAGGAAGCCAGACAAAGATGGATGCAGAGTTAAGTCTGGAGTATAACCCACTTAGAAGCAGTCACTGCCTCATTAGGAGAGCAGTTGTTTTATTTATTTAGACAACGAGAGAGAATGAGACAGAATGAACAGAGGAGTGGCAGAAGGAGAGGGAGAAGCAGACTCCCCCCGCTGAGCAGAGAGTCTGATGTGGGGTTTGATCCCAGGACCCTGGGATCATGACTTGAGCCCAAGTAGGATGCTTAACTGACTGAGCCCCTGAGCCGCCCCTGGGAGAGCAGTTTTAAAGTCTCTCTCTGTTTACCATGCTGTGAGTCTGCTTTAACCTAGAAAGGTATTTCTCCGAACACGCAGTTTCTGCCTCTGGGAAGTTGTCTTTGCCCAGTGTCAAACACATGACAGTCCTTGAAAAGTTTCTTTCTTCAAAGATGCATTTTCCATGTCCTCTGCTCAGTGACCCAAATCTGAAGTGGTTTCTGAAGCTAGAGCTGAACAAGAGTTTTCTAGGAAACTCAATTACTTACATTTATACTACTTTACAAAATCCTCAAAAATATCCAGCTTTCTTGATTTTATAAATAATAACTAAAAGGAATTTTAATAATAATTATTAAAAAGCTTTTTCTTCATTCCTTCTTTTCAGTTTTTTTTTTTTTTTTAAAGATTTTATTTATTTATTTGACAGAGAGAGATCACAAGCAGGCAGAGAGGCAGGCAGAGAGAGGGGGGGGGAAGCAGGCTCCCTGCTGAGCAAAGAGCCCGATGCTGGGCTCGATCCCAGGACCCTGAGATCATGACCTGAGCCGAAGGCAGCGGCTTAACCCACTGAGCCACCCAGGCGCCCCCTTTTCAGTTTTGATTATACATTTTTCATCAAAGATTATTATATCTACTTTTGAAAACAATTGGAAACTAGACCCCAAAAAAAGCAGTTATCTCATCACTCTCATGCAAATTTTTAAAGCATTTTGATTTTTTTTTTTAGGTTTTATCCTTGAGCTAGATATTTTTATAGTTGCAATCATAATATGTGACAATTTTACCTCCTTCCCACTTAACACTATACCATATACCATTTCACATGTTGCCACCATCAATAAATGTTACTGGCTCCATAAATATCCCACTGAGTGGGTTATCATAATTAATTAAACATTCCTGTTCCTCTATTTTTGGACATTTAAGTTCCTCCTAATTTTTTTTGGCAGTTCATCCATTTATTATTGCTGATGTCTTTCTAATTTTTTTTCTTGTGGTAAAATGTACATACAAAATTTACAATTTTAGCTATTTTTTAAAAACGATTTTATTCATTTATTTGAGAGAGAGACAGAGATAGTGACAGAGATAGTGAGAGAGAACAAGCAGGGAGGAGAGGGAGAAGCACACTCCCTGCTGAGCAGGAAGTCTAACATGGGACTCGATCCAGGACCCCGGGACCACGACCTGAGCTGAAGGCAGACGCTTAACTGACTGAGCCCCTCAGGTGTTCCAACCTTAGCTATTTTTAATCAGATAATTCTGTGGCATTAAATACATTCATATTGTTGTGCAACTGTCATCACCATCCATTTCCAGAATTGTTTTTATCTTTCTGAACTAAAACTTTGTACTTATTAAACAGTAACTCTCCATTCTCCCCTCCCTGCTGGCCTCTGGCAACACCACCATTCTATTTTCTGTCATTATGGATTAGACTACTCCAGGACTCTCATGTAAGCGGAATCATACAATATTTGTCCTTTTGTGACTGGCTCATTTCATTTAGCATCATGTCTTCAAGGTGTTTATCCACACTGTAGCTGATGTCAAAATTTCCTTCCTTTTTTTTTTTTTTTCTTAAGATTTATTTATTTTAGTGAGCGAGCACAAGGGGGAAGGGCATAGGAGGAGGGAGAGTGAAACTCAAGCAGACTCCATGCTCAGCACAGAGCCCAATGCAGGGCCTGTGATCGCAACCCGAGCTGAAACCAAGAGTTGGACACTTAAACTGACTGAGCCACCCAGACATCCTGAATTTCCTGAATAATATTTCATTGTAGGTACATACCACATTTTGTTTATCCATTCAATCATTGAGGGATGCTTGGGTTGCTTCTACCTTTGGCTCTTGTGAATAAAACTGTTATGACCATGGTTATACAAATATCTGAAAGTCCCTGTTTCACTTCTTTTGGGTATATACCCTGAAGTAGAATTGCTGGATCATATGCTAATTCTATTTTAGTTTTTTGAGAATCATCATACTGTTTTCCATAGCAGCTGCACCATTTTATATTCTCATTAGCAATGCACAAGGGTTCCAATTTCTCCATATTCTCACCAACATTTATTACTATCTTTTAAAAAAAATAATAATAGCCATCCTAATGGATGTGAAGTGGTATCTCATTGTGGTTTTGATTTGCATTTCCCGAATTACTAGTGATGATGAGCATCTTTTCATATGCTTATTGGCCATTTGTATATCTCCTGTGGAGAAATGTCTATTCAAGTCTTTTGCCTATTTTTTAACTGGGTTGTTTTTTTGCTTTTGACGCACAAAATTTATAAATTTGCACGAAGTCCAATTTATCTACCTTTTCCTTTGTTGCCTGTGCCTCTGGTGCAATATCCAAGAAACCATTGCCAAATCCAGTGTTGGGAAGCATTTGCCCTCGTGTTTTCATCTAAGAGTTTTATAGTTTTAGTTCTTACATTTAGGTCTTTGGTCCATTTTGAGTTAATTTTTGTATACGCTGTTAGGTAATGGTCCAACTTCTTTCTTTGGCATGTGGATAGCCAGTTTTTCTGGTGTCATTTGTTGTAAAACTGCCTTTCCCCATTGCGTAGTCTTGCCACCCTTGTCAAAATCATACTGTTTTCATTATTGTAGATTTGCAGTAAGTTATATAATCAGGAAGTATGAGAACTCTAGTTTTGTCCTTTTACATGATTGTTTTTGCTCTATGGAGATTCCTAATCTTTTGACAGATGATTTGTTCCCACTTTTTCACTTTTAATAAATTAAAATAAAAAATAAAGTATAGGATTTGAAATCTGCATATCAGAACTGGTGAAAGAAATCAACTTTGATGTGAAGATCATTTTTGTGATTTTGGCGGGGAGAGGTGAGACCAAATTTAAAATTCAGTGATAGACTTATTTTCTTCTGGCATCTAGTATTCTGTCAAACCATCACCCGTATCTGTTGGTCTGGGCTCATGGAATGCAAATTATTTTATTTTATTTTTTTAATAAAAAACAAACAGGAAGATTAAGTTTTTGCTTCTTACAGGGAGAAAAAACACAAAACACCCAAAAGTATATAAAAAAAAAAATCCAGGACAGGTGACCTACTGCTAATATGCTACTCCTGTCTGCCATTTTAGGTGTAACTAAATTGTTCCCAGAAAATGTGTTGATATTTTGGTAGCCAGTGCATGAATGCTTCTAGACAGCAGAAGCCTCAGCAGTGGCCAATCACTATCCAATGGGCATCTGTCCTAGGACTGTGCATACCTGAGTGGTGTGCAAGTCTGCACCAGGCATTGTAACCCAAAGTGAGTCTGCTGAGGCCAAATAGACTTGAATTGTTGTGTTTCTTTTCCAGAGCATACAGATCAATGATAATTTTATGACCTAAATGTACTGAAATAAATATGATAATCAGGCCTCATAAAATTCTACATCTGCCTCTATAAATTTCTTTTTTTTTTTTTAAAGATATCATTTATTCTTTTGACAGACAAAGATCACAAGTAGGCAGAGAGGCAGGCAGAGAGAGAGGGAGGAAGCAGGCTCCCTGCCGAGCAGAGAGCCCGACGCGGGGCTCGATCCCAGGACCACGAGACCACGACCCGAGCCGAAGGCAGAGGCCCAACCCACTGAGCCACCCAGGCGCCCCTGCCTCTATAAATTTCCTTCTCAAGCAAGATTTATTTGATGCTGAAGAAGCTGTCTTGAATGTCAGGGCTGTCCAGCTAATCTTAAGAAGTTTCACTGTAGTGAAGAGTTGGTACGTTTCAGTGGGGGTTTGCCATTGGCTCCTGTATTCCATGGTTCAAGCTTCTTGGGATGACTCAATATCCCTGAGTTCCTGGCTCTCAACTCCCACTGTTGCAACAATGCATTTGGCCCATCTTTTTACATTTTAATCAACCATTTCACAATGATCCCATTAGCCTGTGATAAAAATCACTACTAAAAATTCAACTACAGGGTTCCCAGAAGCAGCACTTTCGGTTGTATTGTAATTGACATCTAGTTTCTGAATTAATTTGGCAAGATTTCCCATCCTATGAAATCAGCCAAATAATTAGATCTTTTAAGAGTATAAATATATTTTCTCTAGTTGAATGTTTGCATTAGCTCTCTTACTTGTTCCCTTCTTCATTCTGTGTTATTTCTACTACTATTATTATTTATCTCACGTTATATTTTCTGTGGAAAACAATTCCTAGGAAGCTAGGCCAGGTCACTTTTCCTTTGAGGTCTACATTTCTCTGCAGTTGCTCTGATGCTCCGGAGAAACGGTTGGCACCATGTTTGCAGCTGGCTAGTGATGACTTCCTTTTCTTAGGAAGGAAATGTGCAAGTTGCAAGAGTGACACAAATAGGGACTGGGGAAAAAAAATCTCCCTGCTTTCATCTGC